CCGAGGATGCAGGTGCTGTTATCACACCCATTTCACAGATGGGGAACCAGGCCCCAGGAGCATGCACAAGTCCCCCTGGGGTGACCAGGAACTGGAGGAGCCTGGGGTCCAGGCCGACTGCTCTGTCACCCACGCTCTTAGCACAAGTGTGAGCGGAGTCTGGCCACCTGGGTTCCAGGCTGTCCCTGAGGCCTTCCCGGGAAGCTCGCGGTCAGGGCGGGGACAGCGTTGAGACCAGGGACGGGAAACTGAGCGGCCAGTGGCTCCCAGGCCCTGGCTCGGGGGCTGCGGGGAGGCATCTCCAGGCACAGCATGTCCAGGCCTCCAGCTGTGGGTGTCTGCTTCTGGGATTAGACCTTTGTCTCTTGTCGATAGCGCCTCCTTCCTGACAGCTCTGAGAACCTGTGCAGTAAGATGGTGTGAACTTCACACTCGCTCTTTCTGCAAGTCTCCTGTGCCTCTGAACCTCAGTTTGCTCACCTATAAAATGAGACAGCAATTCTTTTTGTTTCCCTGGAGGATGAGAGAGCTATTAAACCACTTCCTCCCAAGACTTCCCAGGTAGCAATGGGTAGGACAGGGGCTGGAACCTCCCTCACCCCATTAGGAGAATAGATGGGGTGAGACTGTGTCCCGGGGGCACCTTGCCTGCAGGTCCCTAAGCTCTAAAAGGAACTGTGGGGACAAGACCCCTTAGTGGGCCATGAGTTCATGACTTAATTTTCTCGTTGCTGAAATGGATCAGAATGACAGGGAATTCAAGAGAGAGGGGGCATATGTATAACCTACAGCTGATTCATGTTGACGTATGGCAGAAACCAACACAACACTGTAAAGCAATTACCTCCAATTAAAAAGGCATAAATTTTTAAAAAAAAAAAAAGAATGGCAAGGAATGAGAATGTATTGTTTCCCAGAACTCTTTTCCAGAGTTGTGCTGGTGTAGGCTTGCATCAGCATGCTAATTCATATCAGATGTGTCTCTAACCATGAACATTGTTTAAAAGTTGAAGAAACGTTACTCCTTACTTAGACTTCTAGGAAACCCTGAGGTCAAATGTGACGACAGGCCACAACATGACCATCCTGGGTGCCAAAGCTGTGCCCTCGCACACCATTTGGGAAGGGTAGGTCAGAGGGCAGCAGACGATGAGATGGTTAGACAGCATCACTGACTCAGTGGACGCGAACTTGAGCAAACAGGAGGTGGTGAAGGACAAGGCAGCCTGGCGTACTGCAGCCGATGGGGTCACAGAGCCGGACCCACCTGAGTGACTGAACAGCAGAGGTTGAAATGAAACCCACAGCGGGGGCGGGGGGTGCCACTGGGCTCTGGGGAGGGGGTTAGTGTGGGTGCCCTTCCTGCACCCAGAGGGAGGGGCCTCGGGCAGAGAGCCTCGAAGCCTGTCTGCCCGTCCCCAGGGGCCCATCCCCTTCCCCGGGGAAGCCACACACTCCCCTCAGCTCCCAGCCGCTCCCCAGTTCCATGAGCAGGGCCCCCTCAACTGTCCCACAGTGTGGGAGCCTCCCCCATATTAGTTCATCTCCCAAGATGGCTCCCAACTACAGCAAGGCAGCACCTGGCTGTTCCTCCTTCCCCTGGGAGGGTCATCCGCCTCCTCCATCACCTTCAAGGGACTGTTTCTTCACCCCCCACAGTAGAGAACCCATCTGTACCTCCCTCATCCCAACCCCAGCAGCTGGAAACTCTTGACCCCACACCCTAGGTCAAGCCAGATGCAGATGTTTGCTTGTGGGCAGGCAGCCCTCAGGGCCAGCCACTCCGAGCTGGATGATAGGACAGACGGCGCCCCGGTGAAAACATGGCAGGTCAGGGCCTTGACCAGGCACAGTCTGCCACATTTCTCAGCCTCTGCTTCCAGCAGCTTTCTCAGTAAGCCCCCTCCTTTCAGCAAAAGCTCAAAATTCCTTCTCCCCATGCCAGTCCCTCACTTCCTGTGTCCTGGCTTCCTGGCCTATGCTTGTGAAATTCAGGATCTTAGCGTAAAATTCTAGTGGGGGTCTGAGGATGTCCAGGCAGCAATGAGACCTTAAGCAGAGCCAGCAAACCCACACGGTCATATTCTCTGAGCCAAGGCTGCTGGAATCACAGCTGGCAGACTCGGGTGGCCCTGGTGTGCAGGAAGGAAGTTTTCCATGAAGAGCAGGGGATATTCGCCTGCAAGTATCTCTGGAGGGGTCTTGAGGGCCCTCGTTTCCAACTGGGTGGCACCAAGTGGAGATGTGTGATGGCAGATGGCTGACTTTGCATGCTAAGGTCAGGAGATGCAATAGGTCACCTGGAGTCGCTGCCTAGAGCGTACTGGGCTACACCTGGGCTCTGCAGGAAAGGATGACTGTGTGAGTGATGGGAAGCAACGGCAGCCCACACACTTCAGGGCCAAGTGTCATGCAAGCCGCCAGCCCAGCTTGGAAGGCCCAGGACTTGCTCTCTCACCAGGCACCCCCAGTAATGGTTATTTTTCTTGGTTTCAGGTGTTTTCAATCATAGTCACACTGCTGTACAAGGTCCATGCCGTGTTTTCTTTAATCAGATGCAAGGTTTCCTACAGGAACAGAGAACATTCCTGAAAACACAGACAATGGTCACTAATCAGGCTGCCTTCCAGCATAACATTTGAGGATGAAGAATTGCTCTTGATGGTGGAAAAAGAAAACAAAAAGCGACATTCTCTTTGTGGGTGCTATGTTGACTGTTCATGTACCTTTGTGTCAGGGTAAAGGGCTTGTTAGCCTCCAAGAGTTGAGAAGTCTTTCTAGGGTCATTTCCTATTGAAGGGGGTGGTGGAGTGGGAAGTGGGGGCTGTGATCTGAAAGACCACAAAACAAGGATCCCCCACTGGTCCCTGGACTGAGTCTTTGTCGCTGTCAATTGCAATTGTCCATGGGCTCTTTTGAGTATCAATCTTGCAGCATGTTTCTAGGTCTTCATGGATACCTTACATCTTCAAGGATATTCTAGTTGTCATAGAGAATAAAACGCTCCCAGCAAATATTTATAGATGTGCAGGATGAAACATGATAAACTCTTCAAAAATTTATAAAGTGCCTTTATGGTCAATCCTCTCATGGGGCTATTTCTTGTTTTTTTTTTTTTTTATTCTCCCATGTGAGCAACACCATCATGTCAGCTTTCTTTCTAAGGAATCCTTGCTTAGACCAAATCTCAGAAGCAGCATCAAAGGGCAGTTCAGATGACAGCTGTTTGTTATTCCAGAGTAACTGTACCAGAAAAGGCCACTTTCACTGAGTCTACTTAAAACTTCAGTTAAAATGTTACAGTAGGGACTTCCCTGGTAGTCCAGGGACTAACACTTCACACTCTCAATGCAGGGGACCCAGGTTCAATCCCTGTTCAGGTAACTAGATCCCACATGCCACAACTAAGAGCCAGCACAGCCAAATAATTTTTAAATGTTGCAGTAAATTAGGAGCAAAAGATTTGATCGGGGCTTATACTGAAAATTTTAAATACAAAGAAATGATAGGAAGTTTGTCACATGTTTAACAAAATTTGCAACCAAGTGTTGACCAAGAAAGTTTCATTTTTTTCATAAAGCACTGGTGATGCTAACACAGGCTCATGTTCAACCCCAACAGCAACAAAAAAGAAACTGCAGGCTTAGTTGAATTTCCCAAGTTTTCTCAAGGTTTTGAAACTTCAGTCATTCTCTTTATAAAGAAGCTGTGACATGCTTTCTCTCTTTTCCCTTTTCAGTTGCCAGTAACACTAAAGCCTCGTTAGTCCCAAGTTTGCAGATTCTCTGACATGACTTTCTCATTCCTCATATCCTAAGTCATTTTTATGTGCACTTTCATTGGGCATTTGATTTGCATCTTCTTCGCACTGGATGTAATGAGGATGGGAAGCCTCAAAAAATGCCCTTCCTGTTTTCCTTCACCCAGACCACTCTCCTCCCTACCCCTAGCAAACCTTGGTCCAGTCTTCCTACTGGTGCATCTCACTGCTCAGCTCTGTCTGCATCCAGCTGTTTAGCAAGTACCTGCAGGTACAAGTTCTGGCCCGTGGGCAGTCCTCCCTGCTAAGTGCAGTGCTCCCAGGAAACCCACGTGGCCTGGCAAAGAGGGCATGGAAGAAGCTGAGCAACAGCAGAAAGGTCCTCAGACCAGAGAGACTGGGTGATGACGGAGCACCTACTGTGTGCTGGGACCTCTCGATGTAGGCAGAGGAAATTTTAAAACAATTATAGAAACAGAGGAGAAAAGGGGATTTGAAGAGAGGTAAGGTTTGTATACTTCACTCAAACCAGTACAAAGTCATCACCAGTAAGTGATGTAGGTATAATGTAATACCTAGTGTGTGCGCACTAAGTCGCCTCAGTCCTGTCCACCTCTGTGCCACCCTGTGGACTGTAGCCTGCCAAGGCTCCTCTGTGCCTGGGATTCTCCAGGCAAGAATCCTGGAGTGGGCCATCAGGCCCTCCTCCAGGGGATCTTCCCAACCCAGGGATCAAACCGGCAACTCCTACAGCTCCCGCACTCCTGGCAGATTCTTTACCGCTGAGCTGTTAATAATCCCGAAAGCAACCACCAAAACCCAGACACAAAGAGGTTTACTAAAAAGAGAACTTCTAGAGTCAAAAAGAAATGTTTGCATATTTTCCTCTGCTTTCCTATTGTGTGTTACAGTCAAGTAACTACAAGTTGACTGCACATTATTTTTCATCAGGTCAGACAAGGAGCCCTGCCTCCCCAGTTCATTTGATTTTTACTAGTTTAAATAAATATTTGAAGTAGTTTTTAACTAAGACACCTATGTAAAGTTCCTATCACAGTGACTGGTATGTATGACATGCTCCATCAATTACATCTGCATTATTTATTATTTGTAAATAAACAAATGTAAGGTTGGCCTTTCCTTTTTTTAAAAAAAAAAGACAATCTAAAGTGTGAGAGGATGAGTCTCTCCCAGGTGCTGGAAGCACCCGGTGCCAGGCTGGCCCAGGCAGGAGGGAGGCCTACGTGGCAGCTCTCTTTAAACATGACCACACAGAGCGCTTCATTCCCTGCTCGGCCTTGACATCGTCCCAGTCCAATTTGATGTCTGGAACCTCATCTTCCGGCTCCGGATCCTTTCTCAAGGCCCCCTGTGGTGAGGCAACCACGATGGGCAGAGGGCCACATTCCTCCCGGAATTCCACAACATGGAGACTCTTCTTATCAGCCAGCTGTTGGTGGGTTTCCTGGGCACAACCAAAGGGAGGGGACACCAGGTTAGGTCTGTGAGGCTGGTCTAATGGGGTCTGCCCCTGACATGGCAGAACCGTCTGGCTGATTAAAATGGAGCAACTCTTAAGAGTTCATTAACTGAAGGTGATTATTACAGCAGGAAACGTGGCCCAGGTAGTGTAATATCAAGTTTATTAGCTAACTGAATTTATGTAAGCGTGATTGAAAGTAAGATTTTACTTTAAAAAAAAACAAACACAAAACACAAAAAAATCTGAAATCTTTAACTTAAAAGAGCAGGAACTTCCTGCAGCTATACTAACGGTGAGCTACTGGGGGCAGAATCATCCCACCCCACCTCCCCACCCCTAAGGGGCATGAAGAAAGGGCCTTGGCCTCTGGTCTCCTGTCTTCATCAACCTCCCAGTCATGTGCCATGCCGTGCCCCAGACTGAACTCGAATCTCATCATGCCCCTGTTCTAGCTGCCGATTTACAGGACATGCAGGGAGACAGGATGTCAAGCATCCTGATATCCAGCACCAGACTGGGACAGACAACCTGGTTTCTTCAACAACAGAAAACTAAGAGAAAAAAGAAAAACGGAACTTCCAGATTCAAAGTGATTTAAAGGACACAGCAAAGATTTTAAACGTATTGCTCTTTTCTGCCATCTAATTCAAATAAACTATATAAAAAATTTTTTTAATCTGACAAATGGATACATTTCTATGAACACTGACTAGAGGTTTGATATTGAGTTACTGGTAATTTTTTAGGCATGATGGTAATACTGTCTGATACTTTTTAATCCTTATCTTTTAGAGATACATGATGAAATACTTGTGAGTTAAACTGATGTCTGAGATTTGGTTCACAATGACTGGGGTTGGCTGGGGTGCATGAGCAGCTAACTGTTGGTGTGTAACAGCCGTGAGGATTCGTAACAGAGGGTAGCTATAAAAGTCTGGACACAGTGAGTAAACTCAATAGATGGTTTACAGATAATATATTAAAATATCTAACATGCCGTGAGGATAGTACACCCTGTACTATTCTAATTCTGCATATATTTGAAACTGGAAGAGAGAAGAGCTAATTCATAAATAAATAAATTGGAGTGTCTTATAATTGGTGGTGTGTCGCTTACACTGGTGTCATTTTTTTGAGTAGCCTAATGCAGCTCCTTATAGCTGATGCCGTCTTAGAAGAGATGATACGTAGTCACTGTAGCCAAAGATTCGAAGTACTAACACAAAACAAAACACATAAAAGAACAGGTCTACCTGACCATAAATATAACCTAAAAACAAATATTTTAAGTTACATCAAACAATTAAGTCTCTAAAACTAAGTTTAAATTTAGAAGTGCTTTTGAAAGATGTTTTTAGATAGTACTAAGACACAGCTGATCAAAAAAGTTCTTTTAGGCAAAACTTTTCTTTCAATTAGTTTTCCTATTTTAAACAGTGACTGCTACAATTACTCCATGGATCACTTTATTCAGAAATAGCCAGCACAGTCTGTCAGAGAGCCTGCCAAAGTCCGCAGCAAACGGAGGTCCATGAATGCCTCTTGAACCCGGCTGTCTTTCTGCTTACTCAGCTCTGCTGAGGGCCACCCGGCCTTTCTTTCAAGGGACAAGCCAGCCCCGCAGAGCTGGGGGAGGGGCCCCTGCAATGACAGACCTTCCTCTCTGCCGCTGGTGTGACTGCGCGCCCAGCCCAGGCTGCGGGGGTGAGTTGGGCAGGGGCCCGGAGGCCCCATCTATGTGGAGAGAAATCCTCAACTATTAACTGCACAGTTCACGCTGACTCAGATGTCTCCCTGAACGACCTATGCAGGTGACATCAAACGGACTGGAGACTGCTCTCGAGTGGAGGTGCCCGGAGCCTTCACCCTGGTTCCCACTGAAAGGACAGGATTAGGAGAGGACTTTCCCTTTTTAGTTAACATTTTTATGTTGTTGGAGTTTTCAAACAAGCACATATTCATTCCATAATAAAAGGTTATAATTATTGGCTTTTAAAAATACTTAATTTTAAAACTTCAAAAACCCATGCAGTTTTTTTTTTAAAGGATAACGCTCGTGAATTACCTCTTCAGTTGGATTAACTAACCTGATGCACCCACAGACAAAGAATGCCTGGTCCTCAGGTGGCCCAAGAGCAACTCCAGGACGGCCCAGGAGATGCTGGTCTCAGAGCACACCGCTGAAATACAAACTGGCTCCTCAGTTTCTGAGCGCAGGGTTGACCTACCTGGCGAGAGAGCCCCTGGAAGAGGCCCCGGGTGAGGTTGAGCATGTTGACGGAGCCAGAGACCTTGGCGTACATGTCTTTGATGCCAATGAGCCGGCAGATGGTAGTGATGGCTCGGTGGCAGCGGAGGCCATAGCCTAGAAAGAGGAAAATCAAGTCAAACGCCTGCCCGCTCACCCACAATGCAGGTGGCGCCACCTGCTGGCTTCCCATGGCTTCCAGCTCTGGGTTTAGATGTTGGTCCACATTCTGGCTTCATCACTTCCCAGCTGGGTGACCTTTCACAACTTACTGAACTTCAAGGATGACTCTGATTTAAATGAGATGTTATACGGACTAAATAAATAATATATGTGTTTCTGGACGTCCCTGCTGGCTCAGTGGTTAAGAATCTGCCTGCTAGTGCAGGGGACATGGCTGTGATCTCTGGTCCAGGAAGATCCCACATGCCTCGGAGCAATTAAGCCCGTGCCCCACAACTGCCTGTGCACACGCCGCAGCTAGAGAAAGCCGCTGAGGAGCAGCAAAGACCCAGCACAGCCAAAAGCTAATTAACTGATTAATTTTAAAATACATATACCTGTAAGTTTGTTAAACACATGGACAAAAAATAGGGCTCTTAAGATTAACAGAGATGCCTGAAGTTTCTTGGCACCCCATGCCCATCTTACCTAAGGCTCACCAGACATCTGTTCTCACCTTCCTTGAATGGTCAGCTGCATTGAATCATCCACTTCCTCCTTCTGGAGAAACTCTTGGCTTCAGTAACACACCCTCCCTCAGATTGCCTCCTAGTTACTGGCCCGCCCTTCTCACCTCCAGGCTGGCCTCTAAATCTTCGGGGGTTATCTCTCCAGCCACTCACCCTCCTCTTATCTACCTGTAATCCCTTCCCATGGTGCTGCTGGTTAGTTGCTCAGTCGTGTCCAACTCTTCATGACCCCATGGACGGCAGCCCGTCAGGCTCCTCTGTCCATGGGCTTCTCCAGGCAAGAACACTGGAGTGGGCTGCCATTTCCTTCTCTCGGGTATCTTCTGGACCCAGCGATTGAACCCGCATTTGCTGTGGCTTCTGCAGTGGCAGGCAGATTCTTTACCACTGTACCACTTGGGAAGTTCTCTAGCACTCTGATTAGCCAGGCATAAAACTCAGCACATACCTTAAAGCTGAGCAGCTTTAATCAGAAGACAGTGAGGATTAAAAAAAAGAGTAACTTCTGCAATTACAACCAGCAGTCTTTCAAAAATCATTTAGATAAAGATGTATCCAAAGTAACATGTCTAACAAAAACATTACACAAGCCACAAATGCAAGCCATATATATGTTTTCAAATGATCTTGCAGATATAGTTTTAAAAGACTTTTTTAAAGGAGGTAAAACTGTTTTTAATAATGTATTTTATGAATCCAGTATGTCCAAAACATTATCATTTCAACATGTCCTCAATACCATAATATTTTTTAGCCATTCCTTATTCTTTTTTTTTTTTTTTATATGGAGGCTCTGAAATCTGGTGGTATCTGACACAGGGATTCCCAGAAGCCACCTTTCAAGTACTCAAAAGCCAAATGGGATAGCACAGGTCTAAACCTTAATGTCCAAGTGTTCAACTCAATACTTTTTCTAATGATAAATGTTTTTATTATCTGGCATATGAATGATTACTTATGATTTTGAAGCAGAAGCCAAGTTCAGGTGCACTAATATAACTGGTACTGTATTTGACTTTTTTTCTTTCTTATTTCCATGCCATGGCTCTAGCAAAGTTGTATTAGAAGCTTTGGCATGAAAAATTTAAATACTGTGTACGTTCTATCTTCTGAACCAGACTTTTTAAGATATTACCTAGAGTTATACAAAACCATTTTTACTATAGAACCACAGGTGAAACACATCAGAATGTTTAAGATTCTACTGCCTGAGTCCACTGGGCATAACTGGCATAGAGCCATGACCCTAATCTCTGCCTGCCTGCTCTTCCCAAGACAGGACCAAGGCCCATCTCCAGATCCTCAGAGCCTGGTGCAGCACCGGGCTCACCAAAGCTGTTCAGTTCACCCTCGCTGAGAGCAAATGAATGGAACTGGATACGCTGTTGGAAAACAACCATCTGTAGCATCCACCATGAATTATCTAGGAGCAACCAATGCTTTTAAAGAACTGATGCTTTTGAACTGTGGCATTGGAGAAGACTCTTGAGAGTCCCATGGACTGCAAGGAAACCCAACCAGTCCATCCTAAAGGAAATCAGCCCTGAATATTCATGGGAAGGACTGATGCTGAAGCTGAAACTCCAATACTGTGGCCACCTGATGCGAAGAACTGACTTATGTGAAAAGACCCTGATGCTGGGAAAGATTGAAGGCGGGAGGATAAGGGGACGACAGAGGAAGAGATGGTTGGATGGCATCACCGACTCAAAGGACAGAGTAAACTCCAGGAGTGGTGATGGACAGGGAGGCCTGGCGTGCTGCAGTCCACGGGGTTGCAAAGAGTCAGACACGACTGAACTGACTGAACCAATGCTCCCACTACAAACTCAACTACTCACTCAGTTGCTGTTTCCTATTCATTAAGTGCTCTTCCCACCTACAGTTACCCCTGGAATGTGTTTATAATCATGTGAGTCTAAGTAGGTTGACTACTTAAAAAAAAAAAAATCATTGAATTATACATTTAATTCATATATTTTTCTGTCATGATTTGCAGTATGTGGGATCTCAGTTCCCCAAATGGGGATCGAACCTGGACCCGCTGCATTAGAAGCCTGAGGGAAGTCCCAAGGCTGACTGCTTTTTACTTCCCCAAAAACCTCAATCTACTTAAATCTAACTTAGGCCTGTCCATTTTAGTGTTTTCAAAATAAGTTCAAGCAAAGGTGAGCAAATACAGGGGGCAGGATGAAACTGGTACAGTTTCTCTGCTTTACCTCCAGCACATCGTAATAATTTTTTTAGTTACCTCTGGGTTGTTTCTTCATCTTGATATGTGTCCTTTTAAATGTTAAGGAAATATCATGGTATACTGGAGGGTAAAAACAGAAACACAAGAAGGGTTAGGGACACAGCTTTAACAACCTTGCCAATAACGCAAAGCAAGCAACATGGCCCTACGCAGCCACCACGCGCCGGCCAAGGACGAGCAACCAGCTCTGATTTCACTCAATCTTCTCGTGAGAGTAAGTTTGTTTCTACATTTTTATATATTTATATGAAAGAAGGTAGTAACATGCAAAGAAACACAAAAATACCCACAGAGATATATTACCACACATAAAGAAAGAAGTATAAGCCTGAAAATTTTAAAAGAAAAGATTGACACTCACTGGTATGGTCTTCATATCGTTCTATGTAATGCAAATAGTGAACGGCTCTGTTCTTTGCCTGAAAGAAGGAAAATAATTTTCTTAAATCTCTTGTTGGAATTTACATTTTCTCAGAGATTCAAAAAATACCTTTTATAAAATATTTTATTATGGAAAACTGCAAATTTACAGCAAAATTTCAGTAGATGCTTCCAAAAGTATAGGATTTAATTTTGAAAAAAAAATATAACATCACTATCACACACACAAAAAAACCCCAAACCCAAACCAAATTAATAATTCCTTAATATTGTTTAACATTCTGTTCAGTTTCCCCACTGTCTCATAGTTCTGGTAAGCAATCACAAGGCTAATAGAAATGATGCAAGAATACAGGCCCTTCTGAAATTATCAGTAACATTTGACAGTATTTTTCTGTGGTTCCCACGAAGTCTAGCACAGACATTACTGATCTTTTACTGTTAACAAAGAAAAAAATGTACATACTTTTCTGAAAGCATCTGCCCGTTCAGTGGCTTTCCCAATGGCAAAACCTTTAAAAGAAAAAGTAAAAATATTTGAGGTAGCAATTTCACTGCAAGAAATTTCCCCTATCAACATACTTGCAAAAGTACAACAAATGACATGTACAAGAAGCTCACTGTTGGGCTTCTCCGGTGGCTCCGTGGTAAATAATCTGCCTGCAGAAGACACAGGTTCGGCCCCTGATCTGGGAAGATCCCACATGTGGTGGAGCAACTGAGCCCGCGAACCACACCTATTGAGCCAGTTTTCTACGGCCCGGGAGGCACAACCACGAGCACTCCCGCTCCTGAAGCCCATGCTCTGCAACAAGGGGAGCCACTGCAATGAGGAGCTCATGCGCTCCAACTGGACAGCACCGTGTTCAACACAGCTAGAGAAAAGCCCATCAGCAACAAAGACCCAGAACAGCCAAAATAAGTGAATAAGATTATTTTTACAGAAGATATGCGGTGGCATAGGAACAAAGAATTCCTGGGAAGAAAACTGACTGTTAAAGAGTCGTTTCCTGTGGCAACATACTACCTACAGGTGTCACAAACGCCTGTTTTATAGTGTCAGTGTGGGTGTAAGGAGGCAGTTTCCCAGCTTTCCTTCCTTCACACATTCACGTATACATTTCAAAAACAGGTGTTCATAGTGGAAACTTTACTGAAGAGTCTCAAGAAGAAATTTGAAGAACTGGCAAACATACTAAGTAAACATTTTTAACCTTTTCAGTGTATACTCTTCCAATCCTTATAGGCTTTTCTTTGCATATAAGCCTACTTTTTAAAAATTGGGATTATATTATAGCCTTATATGAAGTGGTTTTTAGTTTGTCTGTTTGCCCTAATGATTATAAGTAATTTCCCATAATTGTTTAATGGCTATAGAATATCAAAATGCTTGGTTATACTCTTCTGGTAACTATGTCCCTATTGTGGAATATTTACTGTCTCTCTCCCCACTCCCAGTTTTTTTTACTATTATACATAATACAACAGTGTCTTAAGCTTTTTAAAACATTCACTGTCCTCATGGAAAAAAGCAGGGATAGGTTTTCCCTCTAAGGAATTACTTGAGTTCACCACAAGGTCTGTGAGCCTAAGCCACCTTGAAAGACAATCAGTGGGGAAAGCCTGAAGCCACTGAGTGCAGAGCTGAGCCCAGGCCACGCCGGTCCACCCCCACCGCCAGCTCCTCATGTCCTCCCCCGACTCACCTGCGGCTCCTCTGCCGTTCCCCACGGCGACCAGGACACGGACGGATCTCTTCCTTCCCTCTTTGGCCGTCATGTTGAAAACATTTCTCACCTCGAAGACAAAATGTTCACAAATGTTACCCCTTAAGGAGATTCTGCAGTAGGGAACCGGAGGAACCTACACGCACACACGCGCCCGCGCACATGCACACACACACGCACACACACATATACACACATACACACACACACACACATATACACACGCGTGCACACATGCACACACACACACGCGCGCGCACGCACACACACACAAGCACAAATACACACATATACACACACGCGCACGCGCACGCACACGCACACACGCACGCACACACAAACGCGCGCGCGCACACACACATGCGCACACACACAAACACACGCGCGCGCACATGCACACACACGCACACATACACACACGCGTGCACATACACACACGCGTGCACACACACAAACACGCGCACACACACGCACGCACATACACACACGCGCGCGCACATGCACACACACGCACACACGCGCGCACACGCATACACACGCACGCATACACACACGTGCGCGCACACACAAACACGCGCACACACAAACACGCGCACACACACATAAACACACGCACACACACACAAACGCGCACACACATATACACACACGCACACATAAACACGCGCGTGCACACACGCACACACATGCACACACAAACACGCGCGCACACACGCACACACATGCACACACGCACACACACGCACACACATACACACACGCACACACACGCGCGTGCACACACATACACACACATACACACACACACGTGCGCACACACACACATATATACACACGCGCGCGCGCACACACACATAAACACGTGCGCGCACACACACACGCGCACACACATAAACACACACGCGCACACGCACACACATACACACACACATATATACACACACACATGCGCGCGCGCACACATATACACACACATATATACACACACACGCGCGCACACACATATACACGCACACACACACACACAAACGCACACACACACGCGCGCACACACACATATACACACACACACAAATGCACGCACGCACACACACGCACACATGCACACACACACGCACACATGCACATACGCGCACACACGCGCGTGCACACATACACACACATACACACACATATATACACACACGCGCGCACACAGGCACACACACGCGCGCGCACACACACATATACACACACGCACGCACACACACACACACGTGCACACACACATATACACACACACGCATACACACACGCACGCACACACACGCGCACACATATACACACACGCACACGCGCGCACACACACATACACACACGCACACACACACATAAACACACACGCGCACATACACACACACATAAACACACAAACACACGCGCGCGCGCACACGCACGCACACATGCACACGCACACACACGCACGCACACACATACACGCGCGCACACACACACATACACACACACATACACACACGCGCATACACACACGCGCACACACACGTGCGCGCACACACACATACACACACACATACACACACACATATACACACACATGCACACACGCGCGCACACACACATATATACACACACACGCACACACACATACACATATATACACACACGCACGCACACACATACACACACGCGCACACACACACACATATACACACGCGCGCGCGCACACACACACACACACACACACTGAACACACACATCGTCCCTCACTCCCACAAGCACAAACAGCACACTTCCTGCAAAGGAAACCTCCATCTTCAGGAGTAAAATGGAAACAGGATTTCTCTTCTTACTTTACAAGCTGGTTAGATGATCTGACTGAGATAACTTTTAAAGAGATTTAAAACCATAAAACACAGTCTACCTTATTTTAATGAAGGCACCACAAGAAAGAAAGGTTGCTGATTAAACTTTAACACAGTTGGTAACTGACTTGACTGACACATCCCAATAGCAGAAATGCTAAAATATGAAAAAGTTTGAATCTTATAAATGATAAATGCAGGGTTCAGAAATAATCAGCACAGAAGTGGATCTCTACGGATTAGACTCAAGAGAAAGACAGAAACTTCTGAAATACATGACTGTCATGCACTGTAGAAAAATCTACATTTGGGGGCATATTTATAAATTCACCAAGAACTACCAAACTGTTAACTGCTTACATGGCGGCCCTTTCCCGTAAAGTGAAGTTAAAGAAAAAGGGAGCTCAAGTCCACTCTTGTGGATCCTCTCACTGGAAATAACTCCCACGGACAAAATTCTTGAAAGAACTAACTTCCACAAGGGGTACACCAGGACTCAAAGACATAGAGTACTTGTAAATATATTTTAAACTTGAATGCCATTGATACTGAAGAAATAACGTACACAATCAATCACAAACTCAACACATTCCATATGGCATTTAACACCAAGTGTGAGCTCAAAGGGAAGTTGACGATTTTAGGAAATGCCCTGGAAAAAGTGACTGAAATTGACCTGATACAGACTTCAGTTTCAAGAGCCTATAAGCAGTCCAGCAGAACCTCTTCCCAGAAAGAGCTGGACATTCACAGTAACTCCAAGCCTTCTACCCCTCCCCATGTCTCCCCCCAACCTCTGCCTCCTGAACTAAGTGTCAGATACAGTTGATTCCGAGAGAAACTGCTACTGCAACCTTTGCTTTAAGAAGGAGGAAATTTAATGCAATCTCCAAATTCTGGTATCAACAATACCAAGAAGTCATCTTGCCACGAGGCCCTGATGAGCAGCCCCCCAAAAGGGCAGCAGTTGGAAGAGAAATGAAACTGAAGTTTCATCATTTCCTTACACAAAGCAGCCCTGTAGGTCAGAAAGTCACACATCAAAGGCTTTTCTTCACTGTTCCTCTTGCTGCATCCCCTCAATATCTACTATCCCAACTTCTCTGAAGGCTTAACTGGGTATTTAGTTCAGCATGCCTACCTCAAGTATCCTGGTATCGAAATCATCATATGTTTCTGCAGGGAGGAAAAAAAATAGGAACATAGATAAATGTGTCCATGTAATTAGTGTATGACAGCATTTTTTAACATTGGCACCATCACTGACTTTTCACTAAGAATCTCAGATATTTTGGGGCCACTCTCAAGGCCACACCCTGGTCCTCATCACTACCAGAAACTGTTCCACCCCTAAATTCATAAACTCGGCCACCATCTTCCCGACTGCATCCTCCTACCCCTTCAGCTCTCACGCGGTGACTCAAAGGCAATGGTTCTTGGGGCTTGGCCAGCATCTTCAGACTCCAGACCACTGCGCCCTTTCTCCATCACCCCTCTGGTCTTCCAGCCTCTCCCACGCAGTCAAGACACTACCGTCCACCACCTCCACTAGGTCCTGTGCATGTGCTCGACTTGCTTACCTCTTCCCGCCCACCACACCATCCAGGATGCAGTCAGTGCTGCTGTCTGCCCAAGCGGACCTGCGGGGCGCTACTGCACAGAAGTCAGCACATGGCACACGCTTGGGTCCTCTCTGCTGTCTGCAGGCCTTCTATATCCTTTTACTTAGGTCCCTCTCTTCTCACCACAGCAGCCATTTCAAACACTCCCTGTTCTTTTATTTTGACTTTACTATAGGAAATTTACATTCATAGACAACAAAACAACCAGCAAAATCTAAGTTTACGTACCATGAGCTGGCTTCAGTGATCATCAACTCACGTCAATCTCCTTTCCTCTAAATTCGGTCCAATTCCCACTTCACTGGGTAACTCTGAGGCCAGTCCCAGATACGTTATGGTTTCATCAACACACTCTGGTGGCCACACTCGCCCACGTTCCCATCTCCTTCTCAAAGACTCAATGAGAGACGACACTCACTGTCAAAACACAGCTCACCTGACTCTGTCCACTGCCCTTTCTTCTATCACAAGTACACCCGTTTATCTACAGGCTAAATCTGGACCCCTAGGAGGGACTTAAGTTCATGGGTTTTTTTCCCTCTCCCCGCCTTATCGCCATTCTCCCGATGGAAGCATTCTTCTAAGCCCTCAGTGTGCTAGCCTGAGTCTCTCCATCTCAACCTCTCCTCTCCTCTTTAAGCCAAACTTAAGAAAGCAGCCAAACTCTTGCCTACTTTCTCATCTCCTGTTCACAGACAAGAACAAATTTTTCAGATGATTTTCACTTCTTTGCATACTCAGGAAACAGTGGGAGAGATGACTGTTTTCTAATTTCATCTGATAAATATTATCAACTTTTATCTCATGTGTTCTTTTAGGAAGCTTAACGACAACTATTTGGTTTCTTCTGTTATCAAAACAGCACTCCCAAGGCATGTTGCTCCATACCCCATGACCAACAGCACTTGGGGAGCTGCATGCTATGGGCGACTCAGAGCAGGCGTAATGCACACCGCCACGCTCGAAGGCTCTGGGAAGCCACACAAGAGAGATGACAGAGCCCAGCGCTTTGCATCCTATCTGTGGAGTACCTCTTGGTTTACAGGCCTCTAGTGGTTCATCAAATACAGCTGGTTAACAATGTGAAGTTATTCCAGTGATATTCAAATCCTTGTTTTAGAAAAGGGCAATCTAAACAGAGGAGTAAATAGAACCGTAATGAAGAATTCCAGAACCTAGGAGTGCCCTCTCCATCACAATGTTAGTGAAACCAGGACTCTGTTACCTCCATTGGGACCAGGGTCAGGGGGGCCAAGACTGATGCCGCCCCATGAGTTTCCGCTCCATCCTCGCTCCCGTTTAACCTTCATCTTCCTCTTCCGGTCCCACTCTTCTCTCTGTTGTACCATATCAGCCTGCACCTTTTCTTGCTCTTCCTTGCTTCTTTGAGTGATAGCCTGTATAGCTCCGCTTTTCATAAGTGGGGCATTCAGACCAGGCCATAGGAAGCCACGACGCCCTGAAGGTTTAAAAACACACAGAAATAATTCTTTTAAAAGCATTCATTTCTTGAGTATTAAAATGCCAGGCAATGGGCATACAGACAGATACTGCTGTGGGAGCTTAAACTAACATACTCACTTTACAGGCCAGTTGGCACCATCTACTAAAATTTTAAACATACCCATTGTAACAGTCAATAATTCCATTTAACGGTACTGCCTAGAGAAACACTGCCACTCGGTTATGAGGCATATGTGTGCGTGGACAAGGATGTCCACTGAGATGTTACTTGTAAAGGCCAAAAAGAGAAACAATCTGTCTAGCAATATTGAAACAGCAAAATGAACTATGGCATATCCAACCTATGAAATATGCTGCATTAAACTCAAAGAATAAGGCAGCCCTGTAGGTTCTGATACGGAATAATTTCTAAGGCCTATTATTGAGTGAAAAAGTGAAGTCTAAGAGAACATGTACCATGTGATATAATCTAATTATTTTTAAAAGAAAATGTATATTCCTCTTAGGGTTTTTATGTATACAAAAGCATTAGAAATGTCAGAAGGATTGTTAATCAGCTATAACCCAATACAAAATAAAAAGTTCAAATTAAAAAAAAAAAAAGAAAATGTCAGAAGAAGGAAACACATCAAAATGAAATCAGTGGTTTCCTTAGTGGAGGCAACTGGAATTGAGGACAATAAAAAAGGCATCAAGGGACTTCCCTGGCAGTCGAGCAATTAAGACTCCTCACTTTCAATTCAGGGGAGCCCCAGTCCGCGCACTGAGACTCCCACACACTTGTTTTTGTAAATAAAGTTTTACCGGAACACAGCTGTGCCCATTCAGTTACGTATTACCTGTAGCTGCTCCTCCGCTACAAGAGCAGAGTGGAATGGCTGGAGAGAGACCATGCGGCTCACAAGGCTGAAGACACTCACTTCCCGACCCTCAGCAGAGAAGTTCGCTAACTCTGATTTCCTACCACTGAACTGTAAACTCTTCGAGCCCAGGGCCTTTCAGAGCAGGTGCCACACAAGGGCACTCAAGGCTTGTGGGATGAATCTCTTTCTACAGGATTTTCCTTCCCCTGAATCATGGGGCAGTAAGCCATTTGGCTGGACTCTAAAACCACATTTCCTAATGCCCCTCATTAGAAATGTTTTGATGCTTCTAGTTCGTAAAACATCTGTAAAATTTTGCAGAGAAAAAAAATCTTAAAAAGCACAATAGCTGTTTTTATAAGTTTACCTTCACCGATGATCTGACCCCTGTTCAAATCCTTCCTTCTTTTCTTCTTGGTTCTTTTGCCTCTTCCTTTTCTTGCTCCAGCACCAGTTTCTGCTAAAGCACCTTTCCACAGCTCATCTGCTGTCACTGTAAGGAGACAGGTGTTACAGAATTTCCTCAAGCAGTGATTCAGGGCCTAGTGATTTATTCCTGTTGAGCAAAAAGGGCTGGAAGAAGGTGGGTCACTTGCATCATTATGGCAATGAAAGCAAAATTAAAACAGCCTTTGCACATTCCACACGATTTCCATTTAAAAAGCCCAAGATTTGATGCTACTCCTTTTACAAAATACGGCCGCCCCAGCACAAAAGACAACCAACATTTACATCCCAGTTACTTTCCTACAGATGTGTTTCCTGAACAGTTTATCACCTATGTGACAGGGCTCTTCTCTGCCCTCTTGCCTCCACTGTAACTGTTGACATAATCAATAACTAGCCTTCCCAATACAGTCTCTCAGCCCAAAAAGCCAACTCTGCAATTTGAACCCATAAATCTTAATCATTTATTTGTTTGCTCTATTCTGAAAATGCCCTATATTTCTGTATATCCTTCAAAACAAGATGCCCAAATCCGTCTTCAACTCTAATGAAAACCTAACCAATACTTGGGAAAGAATGAGCATGTATGGGGTCTGACAGTTAATTCGTGCACATGCCTCTATGTATTTCTTAGATGATTATCTTTTACTTTAATGTACAGACCCTGACACCACTGATTTCTTTCCATCTGTGAACTTCTGAGCTCCCCCAATCTTTCCTACCATACACTGCAGAGAGTATTTTCCCCTCTGTACTTGTGGAACATTCAGATTCTGTACTTCTGACTACTTAATTTTATTGGTATAGCCATGCTGTTTATTAGATTTAAATTGTCTTCACAAGGACTCTGTCTTTCACGTTATCACCAACTGATTTTATGACAACCAATTATTCCATTACCAATTTAATAAAGAATCAGAGCTATACAAACATTGTACTAGTAAAAAATCTAAGACACATATATCTACATGCCTGAAATACTAAGCACATTCCAGAAGTCAAATGAGTATCTTCATCTTACCTTTCTTATGAGCCCGTAGGCTTTAAAGGTTCTACCTGCTTACTTCCTGAAAGGCCTTACACTTTGATCCTTTGGTGTGATAACATGAAAAGGGGAAAATGTTTTGGATTTACAGTATTTTTTAATATTCTGTGTCTATACAGTACCCTGTTTTTCAAGATACACGTTAGAACTAATCTTTGTAACTGAAGCTCAGAAAAATAGGTCAGTTTCCGCATCACATGCTGCTCTGTGTATTCCTGATCAAAGCAAAGAGATAAACTCAAACTTTAGATGGACACTGATTCATTTAAGAGAACCACAGGTTTGAAATAAAATTACCAATCTCAAACTAAACTCTCACTAAACACTGAGTTTCTTTCTTTATTCCTTAAAAAGGATGGTATCTATAAATGCCATCAAAAACTTGAAAGCTCACAGTGCAAGCACTTTTAATGGAGATAAATCTGGATTCCAGAAAAACGTCTGCTTCTGCTTAAGTGACTGTGCCAAAGCCTTTGACTATGTGGATCACAACAAACTGTGGAAAATTCTTCAAGAGATGGAAACACCAGACCGCCTTACCTGCCTCCTGAGAAACCTGTATGCAGGTTAAGAAGCAACAGTAAGAACAGGACATGGAATAATGGACTGGTTGCAAATTGGAAAAGCAGTACATCAAAGCTGTATGCTGTCACCCTGCTTATTTAACTTATATGCAGAGGACATCATGCAAAATGTCGGGCTGGATGAAGCACAAGCTGGAATCAAGATTGCTGGGAGAAGTATCAATAAACTTGGACATGCAGATGACACCACCCTTATGGCAGGAACCAAAGAGGAACTAAAGAGCCTCTTGATGAAGGTGAAAGAGGAGAGAGAAAAAGTTGGCTTAAAACTCAACATTCAAAAAACGAAGATGATGGCATCCAATCCCATCACTTCATGGAACATAGATGGGGAAACAATGCAAACAGTGACAGACTTTATTTTGGGGGGGCTCCAAAATCACTGCAGATGGTGACTGCAGCCATGAAATTAAAAGACACTTGTTCCTTGGAAGAAAAGCTATAACCAACCTAGACAGCATATTAAAAAGCAAAGACATTTCTTTGCCAACAAAGGTCCATCCAGTCAAAGCTGTGGTTTTTCCAGTAGTCATGTATGGATGTGAGAGTTGGACCATAAAGAAGGCTGAACGCCAAAGAACTGATGCTTTTGAACTGTGGTGTTGGAGAAGACTCTTGAGAGTACTTTGGACTGCAAGGAGATCAAACCAGTCCATCCTAAAGGAGATCAGTCCTGAATATTCATTGGAAGGACTGATGCTGAAGCTGAAGTTCCAATACTTTGGCCACTTAATGCAAAGAACTGACTCACTGGAAAAGACCCTGACGCTAGAAAAGACTGAAGGCAGGAGGAGAAGGGGACGACAGAGGATGAAATTGTTGGATGGCATCACCGACTCAATGGACATGATTTTGAGCAAGCTCTGGGAGATGGTGAAGGACAGGGAAGCCTGGTATGCTGCAGTCCATGGGATCACCGGACATGACTAAGCAACTGATCAATACAACAAGAACAATCTGGATTTGGCCCCAGACCACTGCAACAAAGCAACTAGCACAATCAAGTGAGTTACACAAATATTTGGTCTCCAAGTGCATACAAAAGTTATGTTTACACTATACCATAGTCTTTAGCACACAATAGCATTATGTCTAAAAGCATTATGTCTAAAACATTATGCCTAAAACAGCATATACTTTAATTTAAAAAGTATTCTACTGCTAAAAATGTTCATCTTTAGCAAGTCAAAAGTAGCAACATCAAAGATCACTGATCTCATATCACCATATCAAATATAATAATAACTAAAAAGTCTGAAATATTGCAAGAATTACCAGAATATGACACAGAGACACAAAGTGAGCAGAGAGTGTTGGAAAAAATGGTGCAGACATATTTTTTCAACACAGGGTTGCCACAAATCTTAAATGTGCAAAAAATGCAATATCCTCAAAACACAATAAAGCAAAGAGCAATAAAACGAGGTATGCCTGTATATATTAACCTCTGAAGTGTAAATTCGTTTAAGGAGAAGAAAAAGAAGAAAAATTAAGAAACCAAAGCACCTTTTATTTTCCTGTTTCATGAAATGGGAAGCTTGTGGCCAGACTACGTACGTTTAGTGAAGAAACTATAGGATCTGTGCTGTTGGGCCGCCAAACTGCTACGAGCAGAAAGGCAGCACTGTGTCTGTAGCACGCGGGCCAAGCTGGCAAAATGGCGGCTGTCTCTGGCTCCTGCAGATGACAAAGGGCCTGTAGGTAGACAAGAGTAAAACTTCGTTAGATGCTCCACGCCCGTGCAGAAACACTGCCAGCGCCGTCAAATTAACTCTGACTGATAAAAACAAGTCACTAAAATGCTGAACTTTTAAGAATCGTATTTTGAGGACAGTCTTTCTTTAAAAAATAAAAGCAAACTTTTGGACGCTGGCTCAGATGACACAGGGAGATCTCGCCGGACCTGTCAGCTTACTAAGTAAATGGTTCAATTAAAAGTAAATAGAAACTACTGGCTTTTCATTTTAAATAAATTCAGGTCTTCAATAATCACTCTAAATCCCATTACGTTGGACACATTTTAGTTTTTCTTGTAACCCCCCTCAATCTTCAACAAAATACCAAGTACACGTTAATTTATTCTTGCTGTTTAATGTTGCAATCCTTGAAATACTCAGCTCAGCTCAGTCACTCACTCATATCCAACTCTTGCAACCCCATGGACTGTAGCCCACCAGGCTCCTCTGTCCATGGGACTTAGATCTTATCAAAACTGTGCTTGTATCTATGCTCAGAAAAAGCAGACGTGGGGCTCAGTTAAATCTTTAATTAGCATAACAATGTTAACAGGGAAAAGAACAATATACACTATCTATTTGGAAATATAACCAGGTAAAGTTAAAACAAAGTGTCACTGGAAGATGAGATGGCCTAGCAAAGGGAAATGGCTTAAGGTATAAATCTTGTGGTATTCCTTGGAAGCGTAGTATTGTAAGATAACAATCTCCAAGGCAGGAACTACTCTGCTGATTTTACACACAAGGAGACTCAGGGCGTCATTTGGTCATGGTGGCACAGGCAGAAAAGGTGGAGAAGTGTGTCTTCATTCCAGCAGTCATTACCTTCCTCGCCCCAGAGCCTCCTGTGGGGCTAGCCCCCCAGCAAGAGTGCTCCTCTCTGGCCTTCCTCACAGAACCCTTCTCCAGGCCCCACATCAGCTCCGGCTGGGACACTGCCTGGCTCAGAGTCAAGGGCAGGGTAAGTAGTTTATGACTGAACGCATCACCTGAATAACAAAGAAGCAAATGCAGGCAGAGCCAGGCGCCCCAGACTCCTGTGCCGACCACCTGAACGAGCACAAAGGCACCCCAACTGCAGGCTTCACAAGATGAAAGGAAGAAGACCAACGGTCGAGTCCAGCACGGAGAAGACACAAGGAGATTTCAGCTCTGCCCTAAGCAGAGGCCGTGCGGAAGAGGCAGGATTTACCTGGCCGTAAGCACAACACGATGTTCCCAGGCCCGCTCAGCTGTAAGGAACCCGCCTGCCAACGCAGGAGATGGGAGGCCAATGCCTGGGTCAGGAAGACCCCTGGAGAAGGAACGGCAACCCACTCCGGTATTCTTGCTGGGAAATCCCATGCACAGAGGAGCCTGGCGGGCTACAGCCCGCGTGGTCACCGAGGGCCAGACACAACAAGAGGGCACAGCATGGGCTCAGCAAGCGCTGCTTTCCGTCCTTTTTGGGAAGTGAGTGAAGAGGGGGCCTGGCACTGTCAGCAAAGGACAAAAACCTTCTGCAAACACTGTGTCCCGAGGAGGCGTCACAATGCTCGAAACAGCTCAGGACCCAGCCCTGCCATTGGCTCTGTGACCTTAGGCACGTCACTCGGCCTCTAAGAGACTCCCTTTAGCATCTGTAAAATGGGAATAACAGCTCCGTCACTAAAAACTGCTGTGAGGATTAACCCAAGGGAGCATACTACTAGCCTGGCACACAAATCATCACTCAATAAATGGTGGCTGTTATGTTTTAGAGCCTTGAACTCTAACAGCCATTATCATTAAACATCTGAAAACTGCTCTTTGGACCTCACCCGTTCCTATTACAAAGAATGTACTTCATTCATTTACATTTTGGAAACTACACAAAGTACTCTTAACATCGGATCTTAGAAGAAAAGGGAGTTAGATAAATAATCTCACCCCTGCTGGGAACGGCCTTCAACGCCCAGATGGAAGCTGCTGGAAAGGTGTTTAGGTAAAGCTGCCTGGACCATAGATGACCTGTAAATTAAAAAAAAAAACACAGGTTAAGATATATTTCTACATGAAAAGGAACATTTTTAACACCTAAGGAACAGCAATATCTACAGTATTAAAGAACCAGAACAAGTAAATGCAGAGTTTCTGGGCACCATGACGCCTTGCCCAAGAAGCTGACATCACACCACACTGGCTGCCTCACACTCTCACCCGACCTGTTACCCAGCCTCACACATTCTCCTCAAAAAAAGGCATTTGTTAACCATCAGGGAGGCACAAATCAAAACTACAAATTTATACCACATCACATCTACTAAGATCACAATAGTTAAAAAGACAGAAAATCAATAAGTATTGACAAGGATGTAGAGAAATAAAAATCCTCATGCTGGTGGGAATGTAAAAAGGTACAGCTACCTTAGAACACTGTAGCAGTTCCTCAAAAAGTGAAACATGCAGTCTCTGTTCTATCAAGCAATTCCACTCCCAGGTAAATACATGTGAGAAATAAAAATAGACACACAAAACTGCACACAAATACTTACAGCAACACTAAACATAATAGCCAAAAGGTACAAACAACCCACATGCTCAAGTGATGAATGGATAAACAAAAATGTACATACACAAAATAAAACGTTATTCTGCCATAAAGAGGAAGTACTGACTTATGCTACAACATGGACAAATCTGAAAAACACTATGCTAAATGAAAAAAGACAGTCATAAAAGATCATGTATTACATGATTTCATTTATATGACATATACAGAACATGTAAACTATAAAGAAAAAAAGCAGATTAGTGGTTTCCAGGGGCTGGGAGAATAGGGAACTGGGGGGGATGATAGCTAAGGTTCTTTTTGAGGTGATTAAAAATGTTTTAAAATTGATTATGGGGATGGTTACACAGCTCTGTCAGTCAGTCAGTCAATTCAGTTGCTCAGTCATGTCACACTCTTTGCAACCCAGTGGACCGCAGCACGCCAAGCCTCCCTGTCCATGACCAACTGCTGGAGTCCACCCAAACTCATGTCCATTGAGTTGATGATGCCATCCAACTATCTTATCCTCTGTCGTCCCCTTCTCCTCCTGCCTTCAATCTTTCCCAGCATCAGGGCCTTTTCAAATGAGTCAGCTCTTCGCATCAAGTGGCCAGAGTACTGGAGTTTCAGCTTCAACATCAGTCCTTCCAATGAACACCCAGGAATGATTTCCCTCAGGATGGACTGGTTGGACCTCCTTGCAGTCCAAGGGACTCTCAAAAGAGTCTTCTCCAACACCACAGTTCAAAAGCATCAATTCTTTGGCACTCAGCTTTCTTTACAGTCCAACTCTCATGTCCATACATGACCACTGGAAAAACCATAGCCTTGACTAGACGGACCTTTGTTGGCAAAGTAATGTCTCTGCTTTTTAATAGGCTGTCTAGGTTGGTCATACCTTCCTTCCAAGGAGTAAGCGTCTTTTAATTTCATGGCTGCAGTCACCATCTTTAGTGATCTTGGAGCCCCCAAAAATAAAGTCAGCCACTGTTTCCCCATCTATTTGCCATAAAGTGATGGGTCCGGATGCCATGATCTTAGTTTTCTGAATGTTGAGCTTTAAGCCAACTCTTTCACTGTCCTCTTTCACTTTCATCAAGAGGCTCTTTAGTTCTTCACTTTCTGCCATAAGGGGGTATCATCTGCATATCTGAGGTCATTGATATTTTTCCCGGCAATTTTGATTCCAGCCTGTGCTTCCTCCAGCCCAGAGTTTCTCATGATGTACTCTGCATATAAGTTAAATAAGCAGGGTGACAATATACATGTCAAATATACTATTTGGAACCAGTCTGTTGTTCCATGTCCAGTTCTACCTGTTGCTTCTTGACCTGCATACAGATTTCTCAAGAGGCAGGTCAGGTGGTCTGGTATTCCCATCTCTTGAAGAATTTTCCACAGTTTATTGTGATCCACACAGTCAAAGGCTTTGGCACAGTCTTTTGCTTTTTCGATGATCCAGCAGATGTTGGCAATTTGATCTCTGGTTCCTCTGCCTTTTCTAAAACCAGCTTGAACATCTGGAAGTTAACAGTTCACATATTGCTGAAGCCTGGCTTGGAGAATTTTGAGCATTACTTTACTAGCGTGTGAGATGAGTCCAATTGTGCAGTAGTTTGAGCATTCTTTGGGATTGGAATGAAAAGTGAGCTTTTCCAATCCTGTGGCCACTGCTGAGTTTTCCAAATTTGCTGGCATACTGAGTGCAGCACTTTCATAGCATCACCTTTTAGGATTTGAAATAAATCAAGTGGAATTCCATCACCTCCACTAGCTTTGTTTGTAATAATCTTCCTAAGGCCCATTTAACTTCACATTCCAGGATGTCTGGCTTTAGGTGAGTGATCACATCATCGTGATTATCTGGGTCATGAAGATCTTTTTCCCACAGCTCTGTAAATATACTAAAAACCACTGAGATGTACAGTTTGAGAAGGTGAGTCATATGGTGTGTAAGTTACATCCCAATAAAACCACTATCAAAAAAAAAAAAGTTATACACTAGAAAAAGAAAGAAAAAGGCTCTGGAACCAGGTGGTATGGCTGCAAAAACCTGACGTCCTTCCACTCTAACCTTGAACAAGTTTCTCAACCTGTGTGTCCTAATTCCCTAATCTGTAAAATGGGAATGTAAATGTATCTATCTCATAAAGACATTGTGAGGATAAAGGAAAAAAGCATAAAGAGTTTAAGATAGACCCTGCTACACATAAGAACTCACGGAAGAAAGCTGCAGATGCTAGGTGCTATTTGAATAGGGCTTTGAAAAAAGAGGAGGTGGTCACAAACATAAACAAAAGTAAAAATATTTCTCAGGTCAGATTTTCCGACAAAGGATTTCAGGTCAAGTTTCCTAACAAAACAAGTTACAAAAAAGAACTTTTCGATTTTCACACATCTTTACACTTCAGAATTACGAATGCTGGACTGCAGGTTTATAATAAAATAGAGCAATAGAGGTCAGGTCAATCCTATACTGGTTCCTAGAGATACACGTTGCGCTGGAGGATAGTAGGCTGCCTCTCCTCGGGCTGCAAACAACGAACATGGGGTGGGGGACAATACCAACATCCTTCTTTTTAATAAAGAGCATTGATCAGCCCGAAATCTAAAATAACTGACACTAATCCTATCCTACTCAAACTGGAGGACAGCCTATTTCCCTTTCGAGCTTCTCTTGCCTCGATCTACTCGAAAGTCGCGCCCGCGGGGAAGGCTATGCTGCCTTGCTACTATCCTCCTCACTTAGCCGAGCATGCAACGAGCCGTCTGGTGAACTGGAAAGGACCCTGGACCGCGTCCAGTCCATCCTCACTTTACACACCCAGGCCCTGAGACCCAGAAAGGGTGCGAACGCACGCAAGGTCACAAAGCAGACCCCAGTGAGCCGGCAATCCGGCGCGGCTTCTTGCTTTTTCTCGCCCGGGCGAGTGCAGGCCCCGGGAGAGCCGCCCCCACCCGCACCCCCGCTCCCGCTCGGCTCAAAGCTCCGGCTCCCAGCGTCCAGGCTCTCACCTGCCGAAGCGCCACACAGAGCATGGAGGAAGCCCGCAGCGCGTACCGCAGCCGCCATGGCCGAGGCCCCCGAGCGCCTCCGGCCGAGCAGCCTTCCTACACCGCCTGTCGTGACTGCTCTTCATCCAACGGCCGCGGACCTCGGCCCGAGGCTGAGTACCCAAGGTCCGGGGGCCGCGCTGCAGCGCAAGCCCGGGTGAGGCGGTGTCCACACAGGCAGCGGGTGGGATGAATCCGGCCTCGCCGCGGACAGCCCCAGCGGGGCCTTCGCGTTAGGACCCAGGGGCGGGGCTTGGGCTGGCCGCCTGGGGGGCGGGGCTGGCCGCCGTCTCCCCGCGGGACTCTCCGGATCTCAAGAGCGGCGGGCGCGCGCACCGCTGACATAATCCTCTCTCTGAATGAAGCTGATGCTGTGAACTCTTCCCAAACCGAAATGAGAGGTACGGACGAGCACGGATCGGGTCTAAGTGAAGGTCGAAGCGGGGAATGGTGCACACGGAAGAATAAAAAAGCCGTTCATACCCAACTCCAGTAACGCTCTGGATAGTTGCCTGTTTTGGTAGAGGCATTGCGGGCGATGAAGACGAATCCGTATCCAGAGCGTCAGAATAAGGGGCTGCTCCTTCCTTAGTAGAACTGGCCCGATGTAGTCAGTCTGCAGTAAGGTAGCTGACTGATCCTTCGGGGTGTTCTGTCATATGGGGGGCTCAGTGTTGGTCTCTGCTGTTAGAATATTGAACGCTGGCTATAGCCATATTGGCCCTAATAAGTGAAAGTCTGTGTCGTTGAGCTCAAACATAACTTCCATCCCTAGTGCATTGCTCTTGAGTCCATTTGGCTGGGGGAGGAAGCAGACCGACATTCTCAGGTTGGTTATTCTGTCCACCTCATTAAAATCCTCCTATTTGGTAAGCATTCATATGGAACATAATCAAGTTCACATTCTGTGCTAAATTAGAGAAGTCTGTCCATATCCTCTTCCCCACAACTCCTTGAATTTTCTAATCGCATTCCTTTCAAGTACCTGATCATCCAACCAAGCCATTAGCCATGGTCCATGAAAAAGTATGGATCTATACACCTGATCAGGCAAAATGAAGAACCAAGTGCGCTGCTCAAAGTTCTGTCCACTGAGAGGATTTTCCTCCTTCTCTGTTTCTCAGCGCTTTCCCAAAGTGGAATGTGGTGCGGCTGTGTCCTTTTAGGCCATGCCTACATACCTTGCAGAACCCAAGAGTTTTGTTCTTCAGGCAATGGGTCGCATGGAAATCACCGTGAAGCTGTAGGTGGGGGTTGAAGGGAGAAGATAATACAGCAAAAGTACAGGCCATGGTCATGGCACTCAAGAGTAGACGGCACCCAGTTCATGAGGGACAGCTCAGGTTGCTAGGGAATTTGGCCCATCGCCAAGCATTCGGGTTCTGGTTTGTTTTTTCTTTTATTTTAAAGTAATGATAGATTTATAGGGAGCTGCAGAAATAGTACAGAAAGGGCTCCTGCACCTTTGACCCAGTTGTTTCCAACGGTAGCATCTTCTATAGTCATCCCTCAGTAGCCACAGACGATGGGCTTTAGGACCTTCCATGGGTACCAAGATCCATGGGTGCTCAGGTCCCATAGTCGGTATTCTGAATTCATGCTTCTGTAGCCATGGATTTAGCCAATTGCCTATCATGTTTTTGTTGTTTAATTGCTAAGTCATGTCCCATTCTTTTGTGACCCCATGGACTGCAGCCTGCCAGGCTCCTCTGTCTATGGGATTTCCCAGGCAAGAATACTGAAGCAGGTTGTCATTTCCTTCTCCACGGGATCTTCCCGATCCAGGGATCAAACCCACATCTGGCAGGCAGATTCTTTACCACTGAGCCACCAAGGAAGCATATCATGTAGTACGACAATATTTATTGAAAAATTGTGCGTATAAGTGGGTCCATGCAGTCCAAACCCATGTTGTTCAAGGGTCAACCATAATACAGTATCAAAACCCTTGTACATATTGATAAAATTCACAGAATTCATTTGGATTCTATCATTTTACATGCATTTGTGGAGGTGGGTGTGTGTGTAGTTCTATACAGTTTTTATCACGTGTGGATTTCGGTAACCACCACAATCATGGTAGAACTGTCATCACAAAGATCCCTCGTGCTTTCTCTTAAGAGTCACTTTCTCCCTCTTCTGTCTTCCTCCACCATCCCTAACCCTTGGCAACCACTAATATGTTTTCCATGTTTAAAATTTTGTCATTTTGGGAATGTTATGTAAATGGAATTAGTTACATGTCCTTTGGAGATGAGTTTTTTTCACTCAGCATAATACCCTTGATGTCTTTCCAAGTTGTTAAATGCGTCAATAGTTTCTTCCTTTTGGTTTAACCATTCATCATTATAGAATATGTATATAGTTTATCTTAAGATTTTGGCTATTTCAAACAAAGCTGCTATGAACACTCATGTACATTTTTGACATTTAAAAAATTTTGTTACAAAATATACATAATGTAAAATTTACTCTCCTAACCATTTTTAAGTGAACACATCAGAAGCATTGAGTCCATTCACACTGTTCTGTGGCCATCCCTATGATTCATCTCCAGAACTCTTTTCATCTTGAAAAACAGAAACTTTGTACCTATTAGGCAGTAATTCACCATTCCTTTTTCCCTGCAGTCTCTGGCAAGCACCATTCTATTCTTTGTCTCTATGAATTGGATTAATTGTCTCCTATAAGTGGAATTATACAGTGTTTGTCCTCTTGTGACTGGTTTATTTCACTTAGCATTATGTCCTCAAGGTCCATCCATGTGTAGCATGTGTTAGAATTTCCTTCCTTTTTTAAGGCCAGATAATATTCCACTGTGGGGCTTCTCAGGTGGCTCAGTGGGTAAAGAACCTGCATACAATGCAGGAGACGCTGGAGATACAGGTTCTATTCCTGGGTCGGGAAGATCCCCTGGAGGAGGGCACAGCAACCCACTCCAGTATTCTTGCCTGGTGAACTCCATGGACAGAGGGGCCTGGTGGGCTACAGTCTGTGGGGTCACAAAGAGTCAGACACGACTGAAACGACTAAGCACAGCGCAGCATCATGTTCCACTGTACACTGCATTGTTTATTCATCTGCCGATGAACAGTTGAGTTGCTTCTGTGGGCTTCCTGGTGGTTCAGCAGTAAAGAATGCCTGCCAGTGCAGGAGACATGGGTTTGACCCCTGGTGAGGGATCCCACATGCCACAACTAAGACCCAACACAGCCAAATAAATAAATAATTTTAAAATGAACTACAAGCTAAAGAACTTGAGTCCCTCCTGTTGCCTAGAGAAGTAGCTCTTATAATGGCCTCAGTTCATGTGAAAAATATAATATGGAGGTGAAAGGAAATGCTCAGATCATGATGTCAAACAAATTGCCTTAACCTAGGCGAGATTCCTAACTGAACCCTCAAAGGGCTAATCTCTGGAGGAATTCAGAGAGACCATTATGAAATATCAGCATTTACCCTCTGATTCTGAAAAAGAAGAATGTTTTTTTAAAAATGTAACCTTCACTCATGGGCTTCCCAGATGGCACAATGGGAAAGAATCCACCTGCCAATGCAGAGACAAGGGAGATGCGGGTTCGATCCCTGGATCGGGAAGATGCCCTGGAAGAGGAAGTGGAAACCCACTCCAGTTTCTCCACCTGGAGAATTTCATGGACAGAGGAGCCTGGTGGGCTACAGTCCGTGAAATTGAGTCAAACAGGACTGAGTGCGCAGGCGACTTTCACTCAGGTCGTGGCTGGCGCTCCCAAGATGGCCACTTGGTGGCGCCAGATGGTTTCAGATGGACATCAGCTAAAATTTTTCTTCCCCCCTTAAAACTATCCTTCATGATACAGACAAATTGGTTACCATCTTAAATTGACGTTGATAAATAAACTTTAAAAAACAAACTTTTAACAAGTTATTTTTAGGTCATGTGACACCTGTAAACATAATCTTTGAAGAACTAAATGTGGACCATGAAAAAAAAGTAATAAATAAATAAATAAATAAATGTGGACCGTGGCCAGCAACCAAGGCCTCAAAGATCCCTGAACACCTTCAGATGGATTTTATCCAGCGTCTACCTTTCATGAAATTCGAATGTGTTTTATTTCTTCTTCTTTTTTTTTTGGTTACAGCTCAGTCTTATTTGGCAAGCAAAGGAAAATACATCCCCAAGGCGTGAGGGCGGGCCAACCCAAAAGAAGCACGGCTCAATTTTGGCTCCTCTTTTTCTGTTTTTCCTTCTTCCCCTGAGCCTGCCCTATGTAAATTGGGCCAGCCTGGAGGGCTGTTTGCTTCACCTGAAGTTCTCTCTTGGTCCTTGGACCTTCTTCCTTTGTTCTACTTTCAAGGGCTTTTTCCTTTCTTTCTCTTCTAGCCACTGCTATTTGGGACTCCTTTTTCCTATTCTAACTACCTTACATTCCCCGCTCAAGAGAGGGGAGGCCCAATTCTTTGGGAGTAGTGGTGTTGAGGTCTCTCTGACTACTTCCTGCTGAACTGGGACAGCGAGGGGCATTGGGCCTCCCCCTCTTGTAAATCTCAAGCCTCAGAGTCCTTATAGCGCTGTTCATCTAAGGGTGAGTGACATTTTCCATGGTCGACTGTAGTTTTATATATGCTTGTTGAACTGGCACTGCATGTTGTAGCTTGTTGACCTGGGCAGAGACAAAGCAAGTTAGACAATTGATAATACATGGAACAATCATAAGCAGCATCAATATGGTGATAACAGGGATTAGTATGGGCAGTAGCCAATGCCAAATTCCCCATTGCCAGGAGAAGGATCCCTCAAAGAGAGATTGTAGCCACCCCAAGATCTCTCCAGCTCATTCTTTGAGATCCTGTAGCTCTGCATGTTTTCTTGAGATTGTGAGACTTGCTTTAACTTAGCTGGAGGTATTTACCCAGAAACAACACGTCTCATTCAAGATGGACCAAGTCCCTCCTTGCTCAGGGATCAGATCTATCTCCTGTCTATTTTGGGGTACAACCCCTACCAAGCTGTGTTGGCTCTTTAGAGCTATCCTG